ACAATGCAGTGAAGGCGCCTGACTAATATGGATGGGCCAGGGGTTCCAAAGTGGATGTGCCGTCACACAATATGTAAGTAGGTAAATACATACATAAAAACTGGATGGATAGTACAGTCAGCAGCCACTCTGATTCTGTGTGTTACATCTACCTTGGCATGCACAACAACTTGATAACACAGAAGTGAAACTAGAAAAATCCATTCTGAAACTGCATTGGATTCCTCTATACACCTGTGCTTGGTAGAATTCTGCACAGACTTCCACTAAGAAAGACCCACTAATGGGTTTGCTCTCATCATTCGTGCACTATGCACAACACTTTACAGTGCTGCGACACCTACTAAGAAAAAAAACCACTGGATTTCGGCAATTATACATATGCACACAGACTAATATGCATGTCTGATGCTTATGTGACCCTATACATTTTGGAGTATGTGAGAGCTTTAAAAAGCTTTAAAAATATGGAGCACAAAGAGAACACTGAGTCTATAATCTTAAATTCCTTACAGATGCCAAAGAGGCATTGCTTTTATACTAAAGGAAACCTACACGCTGCTTAAATTAACACTTGCAGCTGATTGCCAAAGGCAGCGATCCCAATCCCATTTACCTTGGAATAAGACCCATTGAATTCAATGGGACTTGCTTCTGAGTAGACATAAGCTAGAATTACACTATGTAAAGTATTAATTTCTAGATAGGTTCATTTTCATTTTAAAGTATATTTTGGCACAATAATTTTCATAATAAATGATGAAATGTGTACTTTATTACAAACTAAAATCCCGCAAATGAAAAACTAAAATAGATTAAGATGCAAAATTACGGTATATTGAAAATAATACTGAGGGGTGAAATTCAAGTTTAGGAATGGGATTTACTTTATCTCTATAACAAATCCTAAAAACCTGTAGTACCTCAGTTCTACTCTGATTCTCATATTCATTCTTTCTTTGGAAATCTACCTCTATAGAATATAGATTTCATAGATACCAAATGATTTCAGACATTTTGAAATCGAAAAGATTTCAGAGATATCTAAAAGATAAAGGAGGGGAATGGAACAGAATTATAGACACACATAAAACTAAAAGGTTTTTTAAAATGAATTAGATTACAGATTAAAGAGATACTTCTACATAAGAAATAGGTTTCCAGAACAAACTTTTCCTAATTAATATGATCTTTCTATACATACATGTTCTCTGTATTTTTTGTATTTTTTATTCATAAATAAACTATAAAAAACCCTGCATTTTTAAAAAGGAAACTGGAACATTAGGAGAGGATTAAGTCTCTTGCCACTATTCTTCCCAGTCCAACATCCACGCTACACATACAGAATTCCAAAATACCAGTTCACTTTCCCACACAGATAGTATCTCTTTGGTTAAAAATAAAATCCAGGAGGTGGGGAGGTATGAAATTAGCCCATACCAATTACAATTAACATGCCAATATAATCCAATCCAATATTGCAGTTCGGTTCATATTTATTAATTATCTACGGACCTTCAAATTCCAAAAATACTCCATACAATGGAGAGATAAATCAATCATAGAACCAGGGAGGGACTAAATATTTACTACTATTATTTATTTTGCAACCTCTGCATTAAATTCTCCCTCTCTCACTGAGTCTCCAATGCACTACACATCATTCATGAAACAGAGGAAAGGTTGATTTTGCTTCATTCATATTTTCCATCTAAAAACCAGCGGTTTTTACTGCCTTGCTCATCTTTCATCTTTCGATGCTTTGTGCCAGCCATTACTTACTCAAACAGACACAGTTTTCTTTTTCCAGCAAAGTCAAATTAGACACAAAATAAGCAACATGACCATCCAACTCCATACTTTTTGTCTATTTTTTGATGGCAGTTTAGTCGGACAAGTTCAAGACTGGTAGTTTAAGAATAAAGTTAAGCATGCCTCTGGAGAGTATAAGTATTGGGCTTTTCATATCTACGCTTATTATTCCTAATATTACACCGACACTTCCCCCTCTTGTCCTTCTCTTTCCCAAATTCCCCATCTGACCAGATGTCTCTCTCTCCCTCGCTTCCACCTGTCAATCACATTCACGGCTGAAATTTGATTTCTCTCCCAACAGTAACCTTATATGAAATATTACCATAGGGGTCAGCACAATCTGAACCTCACCACATAAGTTCATTAACTCTTCCTCAGTCCAATATCTGTTTGTTTCAAAGTTACACGGTTTTTTGTGCTAATCTCTTTTGCAACACCAATCGGTCAGCAATTGCTAAATCCAGGATTTAGGAGGAAGTGAAATGATTCGGTTCTCTTTTTCCTCCCCAGAAGGTTTGGTTTTTGTAAAGCCAGAGGTTAGGCCTGTGCACATTAACTCTACAGATTCTCCCTCCCCGAAGACAAAACACCAGAGAACTGAAAATAAGCTAAATAAAAAGATTTAATTGCAGCAGAGCAAGAGCACTGAGACTGCACACTTTTCTTCTAGCATGAATCACCGTGCAGCCCCAGCTGCAATGTACAAACGCATTACTGCAGATCAGGTGCATTCAAACAAATGCTCATTCTGCTAATGACAAAGCCCACAATCCTAAACACAGTTCCACTGGACATAAAACTCAGCTACACATGCAGAGCACTTGGGGCAGGTGCAGGGAATCTTTGGCCCTCCAGAAATTGCTGAATTACAACTCCCACCATCCTTGGCTGTGCTTGCTGGGGCTAATGGGAGTTGTACTTCAGCACCATCATGTTCCCCGTATCTGGCCTAAGTAGTCAGGCTTGGCATCACCACCCAGCATCCTGAGGCAACTGTTGAGGGCCCACCCGGACCCACCAGCACCTACAGTGTCTTTGATAGAACTCTGCTCCATAGGATTGTAGGAAATTAAAAACGGTGGCTTGCAGGCATAGTTCATTGGCATAGTGGGCTGGACAGAATACCTACTCTGCCCACCCTGCCATGCCAGTGAACTAAGCCTGCAAGCCATTGCTTTAATTCCCCAAGATCCTATGCAGCAGTGTTGTATCAAAGACCCTGTAGTAAACATAAATGGTGGCTCCTTCCCTGGAAATTAACAACAAAAGGCACAACAAAGCTAGTATATCAGAAGAACACTTCCATCACTCACTTTTTTGCTAGTCTTCTACTTGCAGGGTGCTTTTCACACATGGAGTAAGTAGTGCAGCCCTTTCAGACAGCTCAAAACTCTACCATCTCCTTCTGCTGTGGAGACACACCTGTACTTCCTAGTAATCATGTACTAAATAGACATGAGAATCACCTGTGGGTAATCAGGCATAGAAACACTTTCTCAGCTGAGAGAGAGGTTCCCTCTCTCCAAAAGCCAAACATGACTTCAGGCCACCAAAGTTCCATAAATATATTATATACTGAGCTGGTAAGAATGAAGGTATCTTGACTCAGTCCAAAATATGAACAGGCGTTGTGGCGATGCACATGACACCTCCATTTCTCCTGTGGAAACTACTGTTTCCAGTTTTTTCTGAAAGGGGTATTACAGTTAACAGCTTTGGAACGAGGCAGGATAAGAAGCCAATGTCAAGCCATGGCTTTATATCCAGGCTTGGTGTGAAGCTACTGACAGTGGTTTCTTGGTTTTGGTGAAACCAGGAAACTACGTTCACTTAAGACTTCCTGGCTTGTTTATCAGGTTGCACAAAGGATGGAAGACAGAACTGCTTGCACAGGTTCAGGGCTTGTTCACATCTGAGCCAAGCGCTGGGATCGCCCAAACTCTGCTACTGTGCTTATGCTGAGAGATGGTGACTGGCCCCGGGACTCCTATTGAGCTTGACAGCAGTGTGGGGCTAGCAACCCAAATCTCTCTGTTCCAAGCACCAACACTCATATCCACTTTACTACACCATAAGTATACTAAGGCAGGAGGAATAGTTAATAGTTTTTATTGACTTCTTTGCAAGCCTGAATCAATGATATGTGAACATCTGTGAACTGCAATGCACATTCTCTGCTGCTTCCGTACCATTTATTTCTTTCACATTTTTACTGTGAGTTGACACATTACCGCTTCACAGGAGATAATTGAGTTATGTCAATATTCCAACACTCTATACAGCCAGGGTAGAGAACCTTATCAGCCCAGGGTCATTCCCTTTTGAACAGCTTTCTGAGCACCTGTTGCCAGTGGTGGGCGGGGTCAGAGGCAGAAGTGGGTGGAGCAACAATTATGGACAGTAGGCTAGTTTCTACACACACTCACACACACTCTTTAGCCTCCATCTAGGGAAGCCAGAGGCATCAGAGTTCGAGACCATCTTCCAGCCAAGTGAAAACATGCAGGGCTAGTGAGGAACATGGCCTGGGGAGAGTTCCAAGGGCCATAGAGAGATGCCTGGAGGGCCACATATGGCCCCCAGGCATCAGGTGCCCCACCTTGGTCTTTTCTCAGCATATCCTGTAGTAAGCATGGAGTAACTACAATGGGGCAGCATGCATTGAAGCATAAGGACAGCAAGCCCACCCACTTCTATTATGTCTCCCCAATCACAACCTGTCATCTCACTGCTCCAAAGCAAGTCCTTTTAAACATACCATCAAGATTTTTGCTATGCCATTAACCAGCTGGCAAATATAATTTTAATTCCATTTTGTTTAGGGGAATGTAAGAAAGCAATGGTATTGTATCTTATTGACCAAGTAAAGGAGCGGGGCAGCCAGCATTCATAACTAATGTAAGAGAGTGCATAATTCAAGGCACACACAGGGATATTGATAATTGGAAAAGCTAATTCATTGTGAGGCCACTCCCCCCCCCAAAAAAAAACACCACAAGCCACATTCATTTCTGATCCTAAAGTGTGCAAAGAAAGGAAGGCACAAACAACAAGAATTTAAAAAGAGAAGGGGTTGAAAACAATGTGCATGCTAGATCAGAGGGTCTTGTGCTATGTCCCAGGAAGCAACCCTAAGTCACAAACAGAAGTTTAAAACCAATAACCCCAATAACAAAAGCAAAACAAACAAACCCATTTTATTTAATGGGGCTCAGTCTTGTCCACAGAGCACAGACATGTCAAGTAAGAAATGCAGAGGTGTACAAGCTAAGGAAGAGTGCATTTGTCCAAGGATATTAAACATCACCCGCAGATAAGGATATGAACCCCACCCACCTCCAAATGTACTGAGTGCATCGTAACTCAGCAGAGCTGGCCACAGAGATACCCCACTGCAATAACTGAAGGTGTGTGCAAAGGACTGGTCCTCATGCTTCTTGTTCCCCGTTATCACTTCTTTTTCCTTCACATGGTTCTGTGCTTTACAAAGCAGAAATTATGAATATGCATTGAAGTTCGATGGTATAAATGCATTTTCTGTCCCTCTTTCCCTCCATCTCCCTTCTTTTCCTCACTTATCTGACCTGTGTTGAATTACAAATTGTAAGCTCCTCAGGGTAGAGACCTATTTTTGTACAATTGAAAGCACCAAACATATTGAAGTTATTATGAAAATAAACACACACACACACACACACTGCAAAAGGGGGCAATTGTTATCTCAGATAGGTGTTCAAATGAACAACTAGATGCACAAGAGTAAGGGGGAAGATAGATGCTTCTCCACCCCACACTCCATCACCACCAACCTGTGTTCATGGCTGGAAGTCAGGTGCTTGGACAGCAACTAGTTCCTATCAGACAATGAGACAAGATGTCCTTTTGCAACAGGTGAAGGGAAACTTTGGCCCTGCAAATGTTGTTGAACTGCAAGTCCCATCATCCCTGGCCACAGACCGTGTCTGCTGAAGTTGATGAAAGTGTCTGCTGGAGTTCATGATGTAGTTCAGCAACTTCTGGAGTGCCCAAAGTTCCCTGCACTTCCTATGCAAGGACTAAGAGCCAAACTGCACATTATGTTAGCTACATGGCTGTTGGGGGTGGACAGGTTTGTCTATTTTTGTTCCATGGTAATCTTGCACATTTTTATTCATAAATCCATCCCATCCTGTTTCTAAATTATTTTCCTTTTTTAAAAAAAATGCATGAAAATTTGTATTTAAATACATATTAAATCACATAAAATATATATTTAAATATGCATCTTATCTCAATAGACACATTTCTACATGTATTTTATTCTAAAATACGCAACTTGTAAAGCCTTTTGGAGCATTTCTTTAGATAAGAAATGCACCACAAAATTCAGAGAACTGCAAAATCCAAAGGATAGTAACATTCCAATCTGTGTGTTATTCCGGGAGATGAATATCAGATCAGTTTGCGTAGAAATCAAAATCCTCAAGCAGCTTTAGTAGGTACACTTTTAAGGGCAGGGCTTTGGTTTTCACTTTTACATACAAACTGCCTCAGGGTCTGCGGAAAAGCAATTCAGACCAGCATTCTTGCATTTGGGGTAGAAAGGATTTCGGCTCCGCACACAACTATAATCCTAGTTCAAATTCCTCCTCCTCTTCATGCCTGCAACATTGATTTGGAAAAACTTACAGTTATTAGGTAAAGGTAAAGGGACCCCTGACCATTAGGTGCAGTCGTGGCCAACTCTGGGGTTGCGGCGCTCATCTCACTTTATTGGCCAAGGGAGCCGGCGTACATGTGGCCAGCATGACTAAGCCGCTTCTGGAGAACCAGAGCAGTGCACAGAAACGCCGTTTACCTTCCCACCGGAGTGGTACCTATTTATCTACTTGCACTGGTGTGCTTTCAAACTGCTAGGTTGGCAGTTATTACTCCAATGTTATTATCCCCCTGTGCAAATCACAGATGTAGGGCCCTCCATATGGACTGAAACCACAGCTGGTGAGGAGAGAGATTAAAGCCCCTTACCCTTCCTGTGCTAGGGTTCCAACCCAGATCTGAGCTCCCATTCTGGCCATTTATGTAAAAACAACAAAACACACTTCTGCAGTCAAAGGCACACCTGCATGGCTAACATAATGTGTAGCTTGTCCCTTGCAAAGGAGAAGGGCAGCTGCCCTCTTCAAGGTAAATAGAGAAATGGAACTGGATTGCATGCTGTGAAGAATCAAAGAGTAAAATCAGAAAACATCTCATACACTCTCCCTTCCACCTGCTTACTTGCATTTCATTTGGACAGCCTGCCTCATGCTTTGAAAAGAGCGAGCACAGGGTGCAACAGCAGCAACAACAGATGACTAGTATCTGGACTGGTGCTGATGGGGATACTTTACTGAGAAAAGGTGTAGACATAAGCCGAGCAGCACGGATACTCAATAGGATTGGAGGGGAAGTTGTCACAATTCACACACTCGGTTGGAGTTTGGAACGCACTCATATACAAAACACACACACAGAATGACATCGGCAAAAGATCATGCACTCAGTAAAAGAGTTGCAGGAGCTCCAAAGGAAAATTGGAGAAGAGACACCATTAAAGTCCCCACTACGCAAAACACAGCGGCTTCCACAAAGCTTTGGGAAATCAACAGGAACACTTCCGTTGTGGTCAATAATTTTTCTTCTCTTACATTATGCTACAGCTTGGCTGTAGGAGGAGAAAGCAGAAGCCAGCTACGCAAATAAAATAAAACTGTACCTTGTCAGACTCCAGGTAACAGGAATTTTCACATCACTGATGTAGAAGATTCTCTTGGATACCTAATTTAGTAAAAAAAAAAATATTTTTTAAAAAACATAGTTAATAAAAGTGTTTTTAAAAATAAAGCTTTATTAGTCTGACATAAAGCAGAAATCAGGGGCAGCTTGATGCTTGATAGTTTTACTCGGAAGCAAGTTCAATAGAATTTACTCCCTAATAAGTGTATTTACAACTGCAGTCTTTGATGCACAAGCCTTATCTCCGTCCATTGTTTGAAGCAGCAGCACTGCTAATATTAAGCATTATCTGAAATGGATTTTCTAGTTCTGTCCTTTGATTTTCATATCAATTCTGTAATAGGAAAGCCATAGAAAAAGAACTAGAAAGATAGGAGGGGGGAATTGCTAAATCAAAAACAAAACACCTTGCTGTGAGCGAACGTTCCTTTATGGTGCAGCCTTCGTCATGTCTACTCAGATGTAAGTCTCATTAAGTTTAAGGGGGCTTGTTCCCAGCTTAGATAATATAGAATTGTAGCCTTTAATTTTTCATAATGCATTTCTTTTATTTTCTACCCGTCAGAATAATTAGCTGTGTTACTGTAAATGAACAAAAGAATAGTGAATTGATGTACATACGTAGCAGTGTAACAGCAAACAGCAAACGCTGTTGCCCCTTGAATTTCTCATGTTGTACAAGCTCAAACTGGCAGGATTTATTGAAAAATCTAATTATTTTAGAGGAAGAGAAATACATTCTTTACAGTGAAATCCTATGCATGTCTGTTCAGAAGCTTTACAAGGACACAGTTTACAAGGAACTCTGGTGCAAATTTGAGCATGAATAACCTCATCTGCATTGCTTGTGACTGCAATGCATAATCAGTTTTACCCCAGAGTAATCCCATTAATGTCACTGCTCTGCAATAAGCACATCCTAGGTTGTACCTGAAATAATCATATATTCAATGTTTCCTCATGAACTCTGCCTGTGACGGAAAAGCACACAGCAGCAAAAAATATTGTAAGCTAGCCCAGCTGCGAATAAATCCATTTTTGGAGTATATAAGAGCATGACAAGAAATAAATCCTGTTTCTTGAGAGCTCTTTAAAAAAATTAAAAGAAAAAAGACAACTGATAGATATGATACCCAAATTTTATTTCCAGTTTAGAAAAATTGTCCACTATACCATTTTTGAAAGTAAGGCTTGTATTTTTATATATCCTTTCCAACACCCAAGCTTACTAGTGTAGAATATTAAAATGTGTTCCGAACATAGTGCAGCATAGTGCATTGCATGGAGACGATGTGAGGATGAACAAATGGGTGGATGGATAACGATCATTTCCAGATGCCTGTTTTGCCTGCCTCCCGTGTTATTTTTGGACCGAAACAAAAAAACAAAAAAACTTGGGGGATACGTCTTCTTAAATGCAATATTTGGCATCTTGCCCAGGATCTCTTAAAGCAGATGACTCCTTTAGACCTTAGGTGTCATTTTCCTCAAGATGACCTCTGCTTTCATGCCAACTGGCAAATCCATCCTATTATGAATGCATTCATTTGGAAGGGATAGGTATTCAATTTTCCCACCCCCACCCCACCTGAAGAGCATCCAAGAAGTGTTGTGGTCAGCATCCTTTTATTATCTTTAGACTATAAAGAGGACATCCCTCTCCTAGCATTACAACTGACTCAATCAAATCAAAGCCCAACATAGACCTCTGCAGCATCCAAATATTCAATTAAAATTACTTGATGATTGGGTATTAATAGAGAGGCAAAAACCAAGAAATGCTGCATTAGCTCAGTGTAAAATAAGGCAATACAGATTTATTAATTTAACATGGTTGATATCATCACCTCTCTCTCTCTTTTATAATTTGGCAGCATTGCTATAAGAGTTATCATTTAATAAGTTTCCCTTTCCCCTATCATCTGGTTCTATGTTACAAAATCATTTCCCCAAGAAAATCTTCAATTTACTATGACACAAATATTGTATTTTAGCAGGTCTAACTAATATTTTATTTTTCTTATTCTAAATAAAAATGACTCGGCAGAAGGTCCTCCATCAAATGCATAACTGATTCTCCTTCCTGTGTTTGTGTTATCTGTGAGCAAGGAGGTGGCAAAAACTATGAAATGTGCTGTAAACTCCAGAAGGACTCGAAGTGAAACAGTCACTGCAAGAGGAAATGAAACTCGGATTTATTAGGAATCACAATTGCTAACATTTAATTTCAGCTATCTAGCGATTTAACTATTTTGGCCTACTCACTGCTTCCCTTCCCCTTCAACTAAATTAATTACACCAATGGGAATACATATTGCGGTTATATCGAAAGTGATATTGGGGGAAATGGCTTCAGACAATAGGTCCGTCACACGGCAAAGCAAGTAATGCTTTGGAACAATTAGCTTAAATACAATGCCCCCCCCCAAAAAAAGACAGACGTATTTGCAGATACATACAGGCATCTAGGAATGCAGGCAAAGAGCAATGTTCCCTTCCCAAGGCAAATTCCAGGCTGCTTTTGGGGAGGATATGGGGGGAAATCAGCATGGCTTCAGCCTGTCCAGAGCTCCAGCCAAAGGCAGAGTCTGAACAGTGGACATTTAGAGCTTTGAGTGTCAGAAGAAGGGATTGGGGGGGGGGTTGATTCAGTTGTCATTTAAAACTGCCTAATTTGCACTTTACAAAACAATATACAAACCAAAGCACAGCCATCCTACACATGGAACGTGCTTCTGAATTTTGCAGAAATTCAGCCAGGTAACATTTACAACTAGGGTACACTGTGCATAAAAATGCGTATATCAGTAGAAGTAGCATACAAAAATGCATTATATTAGAGAAAATTGCTTTGCAAAAAACGGTGTATCTCGGGGGGGGGGGATGCATATGGGAAAAGTAGGTATTAGGAGAAAGTGACATTGAAATGCTGGTGAATTTTCAGGAGGAATTGAAAATAAAATTGCAAACTGATGTGGAAATGCAAAGAACTGAAGGCTGAAAAAATAGAAGCCGAGAGGAACCTATATTGTCAGATTTGTCCATCCCTAGTCAGAAGTGACTCCTAAAAATGTGATGAAAGAGGGAAGTAGGTGGTTGCCTTTAAATATAGATATATAGATATGCACACAGAGAGATAATAATTGCAACCACCATTTGCAACAAAAAGAAAGTCATTTGCACAAAAAGATACTTTAGGGCAACACTATCAGAACTGACTCCTAACACAGGAAGTGCTACGGTTAAAGTTAAAAATGCACATTTTAAAAACACAGCTAATGACTCAACCAATTAACTAGTTGGTACTGTCAGTTTTTAAAACAATAGTTGCAGTATTTGAGGAGGCAAGGAATCTCTCTCCTTAAACCAGCCTGATGCCCTCCAGGTGTTTTAGACAACAACTTCTGCTGTCCCAGCCAGCAGGGACTGTGGTTGGGGATTATGGGTCACAGGTTGGAGAAGACACGTCTAAACCATCACAGCTGTAGGAGCTGAATTGCCATATGCAAGGCCACTGTCTGCCTTGGATAAATTATCAAAATCAGGATGTCACCAAAGGACTACAAGTGAACTAGGTAAAGGTAAAGGGACCCCTGGCCATTAGGTCCAGTCGTGACCGACTCTGGGGTGCGGCGCTCATCTTGCTTTATTGGCCGAGGGAGCCAGCGTACAGCTTCTGGGTCATGTGGCCAGCATGACTAAGCTGCTTCTGGCGAACCAGCACAGCGCACGAAAACGTTGTTTACCTTCCCGCCGGAGTGGTACCTATTTATCTACTTGCACTTTGACGTGCTTTTGAACTGCTAGGTTGGCAGGAGCAGGGACCGAGCAACTGGAGCTCACCCCGTCGCGGGGATTCGAACCGCCGACCTTCTGATCAGCAAGTCCTAGGCTCTGTGGTTTAACCCACAGCGCCACCCACATCCCTACAGACATACAAAAGCAAGAGTTTGGACCGCTAGCCCTCCATTGCCCACCCCATTTCACCAGTGTTACTTACCATCAAACTTTACCCTCCTCCAGCTAGCAAAGGCCAGATCAAAATGGTCTTTTATTACTGCACATGGGTGTAGTCTGGGGGGCAGGGGGCAACTGCCCCCCTAGATAAGTAAAATGATAGAAATACTTAACTAACTGACCAATCATTTCGTTTCTGCCCCCCTAACAAAAGACCTGACCCGACACCCCCCCCCAAAAAAATCCTGACTACGCTCACACTTTAGATTGGGCTTCATAAGGAAACATGACCACATCAATGGCCATAGTGGGCTGGAGCAGCAAGTCTTTTAAAAGCAGCATTCAGTCTAGCACTGGCCAGATAGACACCAGAAAGATGCTCACAAACCAGGGCCTGAAGGCAATAACCGACAATAGCAGTGCTCCGTGGTCAGAGACAGATGCTGTCTTTGATCACAGAACGCTGCTCGGCAAGAGGTTTTGCTGAAGGAGCAGGGAGTATGAAATACAGGTGTCCCTTGTCATCAGAACAAGGCCGCTCCCATAATTGGCATCCCAGATGCTGTTCTTCACAACCTTCTTTTCTCTAAGAGGCTAGCATTTGAAGGGCAGCAAATGACATCACTGAATGGGACAGGTTTAGGCCACAGGCCACTAGTTGCTAACCATTCTCACAGGCACTGCACATTGCGGGGCAGTGGTGAGAGTGTCTGACTAGATGCGGAGAAACCCGTGTTATTTTCCCACTCAGGCATCAAGTTCGCTGAGTGACCTTGGGTTCACCGCCTCACAGGGTTGTTGCGAGGAGAAAATGGGGGTGGGAGGACATGTGCGCCTTCAGCTGCTTGGAAGAAACGATGTGATAATAATAATAATAAATTGATTACTGGCAACCATCTACCTAGCTAGTAACAGACATATTCTATATATAGAGTCAATCTTTTTCTAAAGGCCACTTGGAATAAGCAATAAGACCTTGGAGGTGTCAGTAGCCTCCTCCTGCAGTTTACTAGCCATGCTAAGAAAACCATTTAAGCAAGCAGTGCTTGACATACTCGCATAATAATTATCACAAACCATCATCA